GGGGGAGAGGGAGGGGGTGGAGTGGGTGGTAAGGGAGGGGGTGGGGGCAGGGGGGAGAAATGACCCAAGCCTTGTATGCACATATGAAAAATAAAACAATTAAAAAAAAAAAGAAGGGTATGGAGGGGAAGAGAGGCACGGGGAAGAAGAAGATACAGAAAAAGGTCCACAGAATGTGGAGTAAATCAAGAAGAAAATGGAGAAGAGCAACAGCCTAAATTTGTGAGTGAATCCTAGTCACTCAATCCCAGGCTTACCCCTGAATGTCACACATGGAGAAAGACAGCATACAAAGGCTTTGTTAAACTATGGTACAGAGGACCACTTAAGGTCCCAGACTTGCCCCTGGCTGGCCACATTAGAAAGATCTGAGTAATACTTCAAAGGCATTAAGACTAAACTGATATTGGAATTATAGTTTTAGAAGGCAGATTAGGACTTGTGAACTGAACATAACTAAGCTGATTATGTCTTATGACAAACAACAATTGAGAGTCTATAGAAATATCTTGGACATGTTACAAAGTTCCAAACAAAAAAACCAGTAACATTTCAACAACTCTCAAGAAAAAGAAAAGAGAGTCAAGTCCAAGACTATCCAGATGGTGCAGTTATCAGGCAGATTTTAAATAGATACTATAATCATGCTCCAAGATATAGGGCAAATGAACTTGACATGAATGGAAAAACAGACGTTTTCAGCAAATAATCAGTACAAAAACAACTAAAGTAAAATTATAGAACTGAAATTTAAAAATTCAGCACATAGCAGAATAGAGAAAAGAGGAAAGAGTAAACTTGACAGATCAACAGAAAGTATTCATTCTGATCAGGGAAAAACAATCTTAAAATAACTAGAGTTTCAAGGTTCTTTGTAATAATATCAAAAACTCTAAGTCTTATAAAAGAGATCATGCAGAAGAATTACTTGAAAAATAGCTAAGAACCCTAAAATTTGGAGAAAGTATTAAGTCTGCAAATTCAAGAAGCTAAATAAACCCAAAATAGGATAAATTTAGAGAATGCTACAACCACACATATCAGAAGGAAACTTCTGAAAACCAAAGAGATGAAAAAAATCTTAAAAGTAGCTAGAATAAATGACACATTCCATGTAGGGAACAAGTCAAATGATGGTGTTCCCATTGGATAACAGAGAACAGAAGATAACAGAACATCTGTAGGTGCTGAAAGAAAGGAAGTGGCAACCTAAAACTATTCCCAGTGAAAACATCCTTGGGGTAGAGAAAGGACAAAATATATTCTTAGTGGAAAAGACCATTTAAAAAAACATAAAATAAAACAGAATACTAAAATTATTCAAATAATCCAAATGAAGGTAGGTAAAGGGGGAAGAAGGGGAGGCATACCAGAGATACTAATAAAGAAACAAAAAAAAAAGCAAGTCTAATTTTAACTGTATCAATAATTACATTAACTGAAAAGACTCTTAAACAGGTATGAGCCAACATGTCTGGCTGGAAACTACTAGATTTTAAAAAGCAAATGAAATCAAAAGCCCGAGTGCATGTGGTCTACAAAAAAATCTACTTTAAAATATTATTTAATATACATATATGTTAAAGGAAAAATGGAAGCTGAGCATGGTGGTACATGCTTGTACTATCAGCTATTTGGGAAGCAGAGAAAAGTGTAAGTTTGCCCAGTCTGAGCAAAGTTAGTGAAACCATATATCAAAAACAAAATAAATGACCAAAGGGCTGGTAGCTAAAGTGGTAGAGACCAAGCGTGAGGCCTTGGATTCAATCCTAGTACTATCAAAAAAAAAAAAAAAAAAAACGAAAGATAACTGGAGTAGCTACATTAACTGAAGACAAAATATTCTTTAGGATAAAAAACTACCATGGCATTACATAATGACAAAATAATTAACTCACCAAGAAGCCATGAGCAATAGTAAGTATGTATGTATTCAAGAACAAGACTTCAAGAAACACAAAGGCAAAACTGCTAGACCCACAATTATACTTAGAGAATGTCTTTCCAGTTGATTGACAGAACAGAAAATCTGCAAGGATGTTAAGAAATTGGAACAACATTACCAGCAAAGTTTCCTTAATATTTATAGAATGCTCTATCCAACAAGAGCAGAATACATACATTCTTTCCAAGTGTGCACGGAATGTTCGAGAAATCATAACCTTCTAGGATTTATGAACTTTTAAATTGAAATCACACAATTACGTTCTCTTTATCACATGGAATTAACACAAGAAATCTATTAAAAAAGGTATCTGGAAAACTTACAAATATTTCAGAACTAAACAAGATACTTCTAAACAATCCAAAAGTCTAAGAGGAAATCTCAAGAGAAATTAGAAATATTTAGAATTAAATAAAATGAAAACTGGGATTGAGATACAGCTCAGTTAGGAGAGGGCTTGCCTAGCATGTGTTAGGTCCTCAGCACTGGGAAAAAACAAAACATACCAAATTTACGAGATGCAGGCAAAAATATGCTTCGAGGGAAAATTATGGCCCTAACTGTTTTGTAAGAAAAGGTTTTGTGCTTGGGGATGTAACTCAGCATGCTTGATACCCTAGGCTTGATACCCAGCATGGCAAAACCAAAGGGTCTTGAGTTGGGAGGGTGGATATGACCAAATGTCACAGTGAAACCTAATAGTATGCATTAATAATAGAAATTACAGTAGCAAAACAAACACATACATATAAAAGGAGGTCTCAATAATCTAAGCTTTTCTCTAAATAAACTAGAAAAAAGAATGGACTAAACCTAAGGAAAGCATAAAGATGGAAATAATAAGGAATAAATCAATAAAAGTAAAACACAGAAACAATGAGCAAAAGTTGGTTCACCAGTAGTATCAATAAAAATGATAAATGTAGTCTAGCCAAACTGAATGAAAAACAACATAGATGCAAATTGACACAGTGAAAGGGGATTCACCACCGACCTCATAGATGTTAGAAAGGCACAATGTCATAGTATAAATAACTCTATGCCTGTAAATTTGAAAATTTAAATAAAATACACCAATTCCCCCCAAAATAAACTACCAAAACTCTCTCACTGATAATCTCAATAGGCCTATATCCATTAAAGAAATTAAAATTCTTAGCTAAAAACCACATGACAACGAAAATTTCAGTGATTCCACTGGACAACTCTACCAAACACTTATGGTAGAGATAACATCAATTCATACAGTCAATTCTCAAACACCTCCCAACTTATTTTATAAAGTACTATCCTGACATCAAAACAGGATAGACAATATGTAAGAAAAACAAAACAAGCCTCCAAAAAACACACATCAATGTTCTTCATGAAAACAGACAGAAACTCCTCAATGAAATGTTAGCAAATTTAAAAATACATAAAAATCCAACAATATATAAAAATCATATATACATCTTCCTATATATTTAAATAATCAAAACAAAGTGTGGTTTGTCGTGACAATGTAAGACTGGGTCAACATTCAAAAATCATCCAATGTGGAATGGGAGTTTAACAGTGGCAGAGTGGTTGCCTAGGACAAGGCCTCAGGTTGGAAAACAAAATATATGAAAAAGCCAAAACAACTCCCCCACCACATCCAATGTAATGCACCAAATTAACTGATTAAAGAAAAATCACATGACCATGCCAAAAGGTACAGAACAGTATTTGAGAAGTTTCAAATTCCACTAAGAACAAACAGTTTCAATAAACAAGGAGTGGAAGGAATTTCCTCAACCTAATAAAATGCGTTTACAAAACCCTTACAGTTAACATTATCTTAATGGCAAAAGACGGAGTGCTTTCAGAAACAAAGCAAGAATGTCTAATCTTACTATATATAGTATTGTACTGGAAATCCTTTGCAGTGCCAAAAAGTGAAGAAAAAAAAGGCATACAGGTTTTCTTATACATATTCTGTGTATATTTTTTTATACACAGAAAATCCTAAGGAGTCTATCAAAAAAAAAAAAGCCCCTAGAAAAATTGAGTTATGTCAGATTATAGGATACAAAGTCTACAGACCAAAAATCAATGGTATTTCTGTATACTAGCAAAACTTAAAAATCAGTACCATTTACATATCTAATAATACTTACAATACAGCAGACAATGCTTATAAGCACTTCACAAACATCAACTCACTTAATCCTCCGAAAACCCCTTGATAATACAGGCACTTGAGCTATGCAGCCTAGCACCTGTCCAGGCTAACTGTCCAGGCTTTCATTATGGGTGGCATACAGACAGTTCAAAGGTGAATCACAGACATCTGTACTTTTTTTAGTTTCACAGGGGATTCTAATACAAACCAAAGGGTAAGAACTACTGGTTTATGTTAAAGACTTACAATTCAGTAATTCTTTAAATAAAGATTACTATCTTGAGAGAATATACGTGTTTCCCTGATTCATGGAAT